AAGAAAGATTTAACATATTTGTTATGTTATCCATGCTTTTATCCAATATATATGTTTTTAATATTTTAAACAAGTTTAACCTGTTGTTCAGGAAGATCATTGTAAAATTTAGGAGCTAAATATGAGAACGAATGTTGAATTGTTTGATTTTTCCATTAAATGGACAATAATATACCTGTTGGCGAGGGTTTTAATTACGTGAAGTATGCTTTGTGATATCTAATATTACAAAAAAATAAATACATTTGTCGAATGTCCATCATATTCGATTATGAGTAAAGTGCATCAGATGAAAAACGAACATTTTTATAATTTCAAGTGGATATACTTTTAGGTTTAAGTTGGGTTTAGGATGCCAATTTTAATTTATTAAAAGTCAACTTACTCTTCACCTTGTAGAGATCCATATATCACATTTGAGCCAGTAATTAAATATAAAAATGTCAAACAGCAAATAATTTTATGAAACATTATCACCAAAAACTACACCGACATATCTAATAAATTAATTAAATTTTCGATCTCTTTTACACACTAAAAGAATTCATACATTTTTGTCATACTAATATTTAAGATTTTTTTTAAGTAAGATATTGAATCATCTTACTTCTTTCTTATGTATATGTTCATATACTTGTAGGCAACCAAAAAATAAAGATAACAAAACTTGAACTATATTTTTGAGCGCAACTAAAAATAACTTCAATATAGGTATTTAAAGCGCGCGCGCCTGGACTATAGGCAACTAATGAGAAATCCTATAAATAGTTTGCTCCAGCATCAGCAGAGTATTTTATAATGGGAAAGTAATTAAATGAATTAGCAACTTTTAAATTTAACTACAATTTTTAGGGTGTCCTAAATGAGCGATTCTCGATGATGACATTGAGTCATACCTTTTTTAACGAATCTTTTTAGTAATTTTGATTAAATTTATGAAATAAATATCTACGGGATTACTTTCAGCACTTTTTTAACGAGGAGGCTCAATTTTATTTGAAACATGTACAGGGTGGCCAAATGAAAAAGTTTTGCACTCGTCTAATGTGCTCTCTCATCACAGGATCAAAAGAGGAAAACATCTCGACAGCTTTGAGGGAGTTTCCATTAATATTCAAATATTTTAGAAATCCCTTTGGAGCGCTTAGACATTTTGTCTGAATAAAAATTTGACAATTCTTTCCAGAACGTCATTCCAATATTTTTTTAACATATATGCCGCAGCATCTGAAAGGCGAAAGCATTGGAACTATTTTTTGACTGGTATATAACATTAGGTAAGAAGAGATACAAAATTATCGTTTTCTATTGTCTACACTTGATCTCGCCCACAGAAAAAACTGAAAGTCGCTATGAACTATTACACTAATACTATTCTTTGAAATAGAATAATTTTCCTGGCCGTAGTAGAATTTTATATAAATAAAAAGTTCAACGGTTTATTCGGTCGTTTTTATTGTTTTTATAAAATTTAAGTACATGCACTACATATGTTTCGGAAACACACAGTTCCATCTTCTGGTGCCAGTCAATGTTTAATAAAATATGGGGACGATTACAAACATTTTAAAATAACAGAAACCTTGTCTTTTTCTTTTACATCGTGTGAAGGTGTATTCGGAATCCGAAACAATAAAAACGACCGAATAAACCATTGAACTTTTTATTTATGTAATACTATTCTATTCAAGTTTGTTATTAAAAACTATATAAACCGTATATATATAACAAAGTCAAAGACTTATGAACCAATTTGTGTGTATCGTTCACCATTTTAACTGTCAAAAAGTCACGTGAATTGAAAACAAAATAAATTAAATAACAGCAAAACATCCCTCGAATGACATCACAACTGAGGAAAAAAGTTGACAAGGCGTTACAAGTGAGTAAAAAAATGATATGTCACTGCCGGCTTCTGTAGACAAAGGTTCATATTTATTATTCGGTATTTAATTAGCACCGAGTGTTTTGTGTTTTACACGTGCAACTCAACCTTGCCTCAATAACAGAATATCTAAATTTGTAGTTTTGTGGTTTTTATTTTACTGTCACGTTATATGATGACGCAGCTGGTATTGATTGGTAATACATTTTAAATATAGTGGTGTCACGTTTTCCACTAAAATATTAAGGTCTTGATAGAGACATCCTATCATTTCTTTATCTTTGGAACGCTTTGTATTAAAGTCTAATACCCTTTGATCCCAGTAAACCACAAATAGTCGGCATTCGCTCGGCCGGCATGTACGGGAAGCCGAGTACTCGGATTACCTTGTCGGCGTTTGTTCTGAACCGGGAAGACTGTACCATTTGAAGTAATTTAGAAGTAGAAACCGCATATGGTCCACATTTGGCGTTCCAGACATGGGAAGCATCCTTACGGGCCAAACGCGGTTAATTTGGCTAGCCGGGCATGGAAGGCATCCTTACTGGCCGAATTATATATGTTACGGGCAGTATTGTAAATTGGGCACTGACTATATTGACCGGACACTATAACGTCAGCAGAATGCCCAATCAAATAGGAGATTTACGAAAAATATCATCTTTGACCGTAACATATAGATATATGAACGCGGCTACAATTTAGCCGATATTGTCCTACCTATATGCCGAAGCTGCACCCATATATCGGGTCGAGTCCGGCATCCGACAAGCCTCCTTCGGTCCAGTTACGGTGCCGATAAACTGTGTTTATTGGGATGCTTCCTTAATTTTCACATTCACATTCCAAAACTGATCTATTTATTTTGTTCTGCCGATTTTTTAGTAGTATTATTATCTTCCATATACCATATACCTATGGGCGCAGAATGTTTATTCCATCTTAATTCACACTAGAAAAGTTGCAACCATTTCTATATCAATGCCCATGAACATGAATGTACTTCCCACCTTTAGAACGATATCAAAAAGAGCACTGCAACTTTGCTTCACTCGCATGCATAGTGACATGTTAAATAATTTTGTGTGGACACACAAAAAGATTATCGAATATTAAAATCCTTTGGTCAAATAGAGTAATGCAAATCGCATGTAATTTATACAGACACACATGAAGCATGAGAAACTCGCCTTCCGCTTACGTATTATTAGTTACCATTACAAGATCATTGTACATAATCTATTATTTTCTATCAGTGACTAATGGACTAACTCCGAAGTATAATCCTTCCTCACTCACGCTCTCTTATTTCTAAAATATTTGTTATCGGCAATATATATTGAGGATTATTTTTTGTCACATGTACAATTTAAAAAACTTTGAAGCCGGCACTGCATTTTTAAGTTATAGACCAGGAGCTGGATGAAGTTGAGTGTGCAAAATATGAGAACCACCTAGAATACATTCTTTCAGAAAAGTTTGTAGATTATGATTCTGAATGTTGCTAGGAGGTTTGTCGGTCCATTTATTTTTCATACCCCATTCCCTTATTTTATTAAGTAAATAATGGACTGAACAAATGCTTTTTAGAACCATTTTAATGATTGTTTTAGTGACAACTAGGTATTTTATGCCTCTATAAAAGTGTAGTAAACTGCCATGTGACTTCCAAGTGGTCGGCCTTTTTGAGATATTGATATTTTGTATCTCACAGTTACACATGACAGTTTATGTAAGTTATTTTTAATTCATATTTTTTTAGTTCATTTACGGTTTTTGAACGTTTGCTGCTAATGTATAAATATGCTTGCAATATATTTTTCTTTTATCATTCTATATGATAAAATATAAGATGCTATATGTATCTGAGAGATACATGCGCCTATCTACGTATGTGGTATTTATGTTTTAAGTTTTTGTAGGCATTAAAATGGCATCAGGAAAAAAGAAATACGATCTAAATAACGAAAATGATTGTGAAGAGTTGATAAATCTACTGGTACTGATGTTTAATTTATTTTATACCAAAATATGTTAGTGTATCTATGAGATACATGCGCGCCTGTTCATGTAACTTTGTGAGTGTGCCTGCCGGAAGGTAAGCGTGTGTTCGTCATAATGACGTATTAATGAAACTCCATGCGAAAGCCAGTAAATTAATGTTTTTTTTTTATATAGAAAATAGGCACAGGGATATTTCCCAAAAAAATTGTAGGCTATCGACTTATTGAGATCACACTAAAGGGTATGGTCTGTGGATCACACTGACTGCGCTCCAGTAAATATCGCACGCGGCGTATAAATAAGAAAACGTTTAATATACCAATCACACATCATCTTTGTAGCGAGGCTAAGTGAATCATATGCGATTCAAATGCGAATCATATGCGATTCAAATGCGAATCATATGATTCAAATGGCAGTTAACCTATCAAATTTAGAATATGTATCTACCTGTAATTGAAATCTCGTGATAAGTTAGTTAAATACAAAGAGATTATATGTTAATTTTAAATAGTATGGATACAACATATCCTCTCAAAGCAAAAAAGGTCAACTGGCTATTTTGAAAGGATTGCATCTTAAACCCATATAAAATGTAACTAATAGATTATAATTTTGCTGCCATATTGTAGTTCAATTCAATCCTTTCGAATTGATTTGGAATAATATCAAGAGGGAAGTAAGAAAGATAAATGTGTGCTGTGGTCACTCCTACGTTGTCTGAAAATATGTTAGATGCAATTTGAGTTGTTGCCGAGATATGTCTAGAAATATGGACAAATTGAAAATGAATATTCAATATAATAAATCTGAAAGACACGTCAAGCGAAGATGACAGCGGTGATGTTAATTCATTTTTTTTTCGATATAACAAACTTATATTATCAAAAAATTATTAATCTCAAAATATCTTACATAAAAAATATTGTAATAGTGAAACAGCAGAAAATAAAAATATCCCAAACTATACCTAAGAAGAATTTAAAATAATAGTCATAGAATCTTTTTAATGTAATTTATTTCTAACAAAAATAGAAAAAACGTACATTACATGATCTAAAAATAATTTATTAACCAGTTTTCTCAGCTGAAATAAGTTCTATGTCATCCTTTGAAGGTTTTGAAAGAACTTTATCTATCAACCCAAATTTTTTAGCCTCATCTGGGCTCATAAATTTGTCCCGTTCAATGTTTCTTTCTATAACAGCTAAATCTTGTCCTGTGTGCTTGACATACAATGTGTTAATTTGTCTTTTAAGTTTCATAATCTCTTCAGCTTGAATTTGAATGTCAGTAGCTTGACCCTGCAAAAATAAAATATTCATACACTTCCTTGGGGAAATAGCTTGCCTAACAATTAAATTAAAATCCAAATCTAATTCCTGAAAAATTATTTGAAAAAGAATAGATTCAAATCGTCCAAAGGTATAGCAAAAAAAAACTATTTTGTTTTTAATTAGGTATTGCTATGTAAGCTTATCCTTAATGGATATGTTATTCCACTAATTCAATTAACTTAATAAGACATAAAGCACCCTTGTTTTCTTTACACCTTTGTACTCAACCACTCACACCCTTGTCCCTAATATTGTTATTTAGTAACTTTGTATACCCTTAGGATTTATTTACCATTTTTTATCATAGTTTTAGCATGTTCATTTTTATAAAATAGTTTTGTTACAATAAATAACTTTCGTGGCAGTATAAGTAATATCTATTTCTATAAGTTCTGGAATCTCCTAAAGGAAGTAAGTCAATTATTTGCAATTTATTTTACCTGTGCACCACCAGAAGGTTGGTGTATCATAATTCTTGCATTTGGCAAAGAATGTCTCATTCCAGGAGTTCCTGCTGCTAATAAAAGTGAGGCCATGCTGCAAGCCTGTCCAACACACCTAAAAAATATTACAAATAGGTATGAATTCTATGTATCACTGAGATTTAAAAATATACAGACATAAATGAAAATACTTACCATGTAGCGATTGGTGGTAATATGTATTGCATAGTATCATAAATTCCTAGTCCAGCTGTGACACTACCACCAGGTGAATTGATATATAAATGTATTGGTTTACTGGAAGATTCTGATTGTAAAAAAAGTAGTTGGGCAACTATTAAGGAACTCATAGTATCGTGGACAGGTCCCATTAAACATATAATTCGTTCTTTAAGCAGTCTGGAGTAAATGTCATAGGACCTTTCACCTCGTCCAGTTTGTTCTACTACTATTGGAATGAGACCTATATTCCGAGTAAGGGTTTTGTTGAAATTTGGACTGACATTTTTACACTGAAAAAATGTATATTAACATCGAAAATTCTTGTAAAATACCTGTTTGGAACTTACAAAAATATTTCTAAGCTCTAAGAATTTTAAGTTTCTAAGCATTTTGTAAAATAAAACGAAAACTAAATCAGAAAGTGGAAAAATTAACTGATCATTTCTTATGCGTGATGAAATAAACTAAATTATGGCAAATTTTTATTTTAATAATATTTATTTTATAATTACTATTTTATTTAAAAATGTCAAGTTTATTACTTTGACATTTGACAGATTTGACTTTTGACAATTTTGATTGAAGACGAAAGTTTTAGGGTATGCTCCGATATTAACCGATGAGGTCGAATTCGTATTTATTAATGCCATAAATATCCTAATATATACTATTTATTAATTACCTACTGTTCAAAGCACTTGGAACTCTTGGAAGGCAATATTTCTGCTCGCAATGTTACCCGTTCTTGTCTGTATAGAGGAGCAATCTATATCACTGTATATCATTGATCGAACGAATAATCGAAGATCGATTAATCGATCGATTGCAATCTTCAACCATAAGATAAGCCTTTTACGTAGAAAATTGTGTGTTTAGGGTTTGTGGTTTAGAATACGGAATATTTGAAATTAATAGGGAGTTTTAGCAAACAGCCGCTAACCATCCGCTAACGTTACCTTAGGGATAGACTGTAATCTACTCCGTTCAATGTTACGTACATTTATAAAACTCTCTATTTTTTTTTAAAGCGTACGTCTTCTCCTAATACATGGTCGAAGATTGTAATCGATTGAGAGCACTGCTGGAGGGCTTTGTCAACGCATATATTTATATAGATTGCTCAAAGCAGGTCGTATTGCAATAGGCTATATTGCCTGGCAAGTACTCATTAATCAGAATCGGTTTTACAAAAATTTGTTTTAAAACTAAATTTCTGCCTTTATATAGTAAAAAAAAATAACCAATCTATATAATTATATATTATTGACCCATTCAAAGCCCTTGGGCAGCCATTTTGTTTCTGGTCTTGGCCTACTTTAAAAACTTTTTTTGTGGATCACTCTTTTAAAATGGGAAGTGTATGGAAAATATACATGTATACAAAATATATCAACATAAGTACGTATGTTGTATTTTTTTATTACTCATCCCACATACATTTTATCTATATATATATTGATTGTAATTCAATCTTATTACATAATATTATTTAGCATTATAAATATTAACTGTTGATAATTGAAGAATATTTGAAATAAAAAATTAGTTATATTTGAAGCATTTTTTTAAAAATAAACATGATTCCGCTTTAATATTTATTAATTATCTGCAATTGAGAATTGTTTATTGCATAGAATAAAAAAGATTACAGATTAAAATCACATGAAAACCAGTTTTTGCTACTGTTCAAAAAATACCAACACGTTGAAGTTTAGTCTATAAACGGTGACGTTCCTTAACCTACTTTAACGACACGTAGGTATGAAGGAAAGGCAAATTCATTTTTTTTTATTGTTATAAAATCCGAAACAGACAGCAAATTGATAAATTTATTGAAGAAATAGGAAAGATATCAAAAAATAATTACTTAATTTTAATGGCATACCTATTTGATTGAAAAAAAAGTAGGACAATCCGTTAATCAATCATTCCTTGAGGGCCCCATCATGTTCAACTAGCGCCTTTTATGAGGTAGGTGATATTAAAGCTCAAATTATTATTTGTCATCCCAAATAACCCCGGTGTACCAATTTTAAGCCATCTACTTAATAAAACGACGAAAATATAATGAAAAACGTATTTTTTAAAATCAACTTTGTAACCCTGCATATTGAACACGATGGCCTCAATCGAAAAAAATAATAGCAGAGGTTTCTTACACTGACTTAAAAGGAATCTATGGCAAACGGATTGGCCTACTTTTTTTGGACACCCTGTATACTTATTTCAATCAAATAGGTATAGGTGCTAATTTCCTGATAAATTAAAAACAATATGAGTATGAAAGAAAATTTGGTAATGTTGTAGTTGAAGGGTCTGGAAATGCGCCTGTGCGCATCTGGGATTCTCATCTCTCAATTCGGCACGTGTTGAGACGACTATCTTCGTTCCACAGAATGCGATTCGTATGTAATGTCTCTCTATGTTCGATTCGTTACGTGTTGAGTATTGCTGCGTTTGAGAATCCACATCGGATGCATCTGAGATGTAAAAAATCTTTGATCACGTGATTCAGTATACGTAAATGTAATGGGACAGATGTGTCCGATGTGGATAAAAAAACGCTCGAGATGTAAAAAATGCATCCGATGTGGATTCTCAAACGCAGCATATGCACATAAGAATCCCTATCCGTTCCGGCTAGTTCTGCCAGTTGGAATCGTTACATAGTTGCCAGGTTATATTTAATTATTTGGAACCAGGGAATAAGCAGATTGAAATAACTGTTTTACTTTTTAATCATCTATTTACCAATTTTTACATCGATTAAAAATCCCTTAAAAATAAAAATTTTTTTTAAGATTTTTAAATAATAAGATCGTTATTTTTAATGTCAATATGGGGTCTATTCTGTAACAATTCCTTTATATTTAACGGCCTTTAAAAATAATGGCGGCCTTTAAAAATATGTTCGTATTCGTTAATTTACTTCTGTCATTATTTAAACAGATTTCTTTAAGATAGTCCTCTAATGTATTTTAAAGATCCGTTTAAATAATGACAGAAGTAAAGAAGAAAATATTTTTAAAGGCCGTTAAATATAACGGAATTGTTACAGAATAGACCCCAATACCTTTCAACAGTGATAATTACAACATTTAAATTTAAAATCTATCAAAACTGCCCCATAAAATAAAACAGAATTTTTATTTCAAAATATAATATAAATCTTTATATTTATTTATCATACATTTTAATGTGATTTGATTAAAAAATAAACTGAATATATGCCGCGTTTGAGAATCCACATCGGATGCATTTTTTACATCTCGAGCGTTTTTTTATCCACATCGGACACATCTGTCCCATTATATTTACGTATATTGAATCACGTGATCAAAGATTTTTTACATCTCAGATGCATCCGATGTGGATTCTCAAACGCGGCAAAAGCAAGCTAAAATGAAAGTGGAATTTGGCAACGTGGCTTGTGAAAATTCAAATTCTAGACGTCAATGCAGAATGGTGTGAACATGCGCATTTTTAAACCCGTCAACTATAATATTACAGAAAATTTTATATATTATATTATTTAATTTAATTCTGGACCGTTTTTAATGAAATTAAAATTAATATTCTTTTTTTAAAATTTATTCAACAGGGACTTTAGTTTTTTTAAGTTAGATGTTAGAGACGTGCGTTCGGTGCGTTTGTCCTTGTTCAATAACGCAGCGCGCTCTGTTCTCTCTTCTAGAAGTTCTTTCATCATTCATCTGTCTAAATTTTTTATAACCGGATTCTTGTTCAATATTACGCGGATTGAATATTGCAGTTAAGTCTAAAATTTGGAGTATTAAATTGTAAGTACATATTATTAAGTATTTGTAGATGCATGTAGCCTATGAGTTATATTATTATTGTGGGGCTATTGAAGCGACGCCGAAGAACACGTTCTTTTCCCATAAGCCGCCATGATTAGAATTCGTGCATGACGGTTTCATCGATCGCCGCCGTCGTCAAAGTCGTGACCAGTGATTTAGTCCTTACTCCTTGTTGTTCGTAGTAGTGTGTTGTACAGCGTCGGCTGTTACAAAATTCAAGTAATTTATTGTAACAAACTGTAAGTCATGTTTGATTTTGTTTATAGTGGTTGATTTTAACAAAAAATTATTCGATTTTAACGCGGTAGTAAATTTTTGCTGTAGTTTTACATACATTTCACATGCAGTGTACCGATCTATTGACCTTCAGCATTCAACATCCTTGCTATTTTTGAGGGATAAAAACTTGCGTTAGCAACTTTTTGTTGAATTTGCAAATTTAGTTCTTATATTTGAATTGTAATTGCTAACGTCTCAATTGGTAGTTACTTTAAAAGGACATTCTTTTCTGATGAGTATCATATCTATCGAAACTTGGCTGCAGTCGTAGACTTTAAAATTATCGGCATTCATACAAAACTAAATATTTTAAAGACAATCTATTAGCATTGGTTGATCATTTTTTATTTGTTAATATTAAGCGGTCTTTTAAAGTCTTTCAAACTACGCATTACAGTAAAAGGTGTGGCTGAGACGCCATATTGTCAATCCGTTGCCGGTGCCTGGTGAGTAGCGCAGTAGACATTTTATATCTTTGTCAGTGCCAGTTCATTCTGCCGGTGTTCTCATTTTGAAGACCGAAGGGGTGGAAATACCATACTTTTTTTGGATATTTCCCCGATTTTTACTTATAAGAGGTACGCGTTCTATAAATAGTATATTTGTGAAATTTAATGGATTTAAAATTTCAGGTTTGATTAATCGTTAGTTGTGAAATATGCTTTATTTAACATAAACTAGTATTCTTGTATTTATTGCATTTGTTACTTTGCATCTTGTATTTTATTGATTACTTTTAACCTTGTATGCTAATATAGTATCTCGGCCTATTGATACCTAGTTAAAAAATTCTTTATACTTAAATCTTTAAACACCATTCAAAATTAATCAAATTACTTTTTTTTTTTAAATAGAAAATATAATCGGCATGGTATGGTCAATTTAAATTTAAAAATATTCTCGTAAATATTACTCATTTTTTTTCCAAGACGTAAACTGTTTAAGATAGGCATGACTCATGAGTCATAATGTGTTTAAACTGTGGACCACCACTTTAATCGAAAAGTAAATACTATGTAAAATGTATGCAAACTGCGGAATATGGCTTAAAATAGGATCGCGTTTCTGTTTTGAACATGTGACAATTATTGATTTTTTAGAAATTACGTCTAGTTGAATATTGCAAGGTATTGTTTTTAATTACAGATTTAGAATTAGATCAAAATGTCAGTTCCCGATAAAGACGAATTAGTACAAAGGGCAAAACTCGCCGAACAAGCCGAACGCTATGATGACATGGCCTCGGCGATGAAATCTGTCACAGAAACAGGGGTAGAACTCAGCAATGAAGAAAGAAACCTCCTCTCTGTTGCTTACAAAAATGTCGTAGGTGCCAGAAGGTCGTCTTGGAGAGTTATTTCTTCTATTGAACAAAAGACTGAGGGGTCTGAACGTAAACAACAAATGGCCAAGGAATACCGGGAAAAAGTGGAGAAAGAATTAAGAGAGATTTGTGATGACGTCCTCGTAAGTCTTTACTATAATTTTTTTTTTCATTATCCATTTTTTACTTTGGTTTTTAAATTACTGTAGATACATTTTCAGAAAGCTTCAAATTACCAGTATAAACCTATTTTAAAAATATATTTTTTCAGCTTAACTGTTAACAAAGTCGATACAAAACGGCTCTAAAAAGGTATTTCTTTTTTGTTCATTTCTTATTTTAACTATTTCATTTTCCTGTAGTTTAAAATTTAGCATTTTTTCCTTTCCATTGACATGTTTTTTGAAGGATTCCTAAATTTTCTGTAAACAATACTGGTATTGAAATGGCAGTCAGAGCTGGGCAAAATACTTTCAAAACTATTCACTATTGGAAAAACCTAAAAACTAAAAAATATAATCTTATATTAAAAATCACATTCTGCAAACAAACAAAAAGTGAAAAATTAAAGGTATCTTTTTTTTTAATTGTCATCACTTATATCAATATCATATTTGCATTTATTTTTATATACACTAATTTTTGCACCATTTCTACTGAGAGTAAAATTGTGAATTCTATTTAAAAAACCTAAAATTGCAGACTTTGGTATTATACGCCGACACTCGAACGGCGGATATAACTATTGAAATGTTATAAAGAGTTTTTAGATACTTTGAAACACACTATACATAACAATTTTGGGTCCGCTACACTTATTTACAAAAAAATTTTTACCTTAAAATCCTTAAAAAAATTTGTCGGGTCTCCATCATAAAACAAATGTGAAATAAACCATTTTCACTGATTTCTTGTTGTAGAAACGGCTAAATATCAATACAAGACTATTCATTTCTTATTTTTCATTTTTAGTTTGTTAGAAAAACAAATAAACATTAAATTATTTTCAATGACAATTGATGTGTCTAGTTTCTATAAATGCGGTTTTGCCAAATCGAGTAAGAAAACATAAGTCTGGAAATAATTCGGTTAGTGAAAGTTGGCTGAAAAATTACATAGTGTCTGACCAGCAGGTAAATTTGGATCTCTAAGTGAAAACATTTGTAGTAATCACAGACAACCGTCTTTTTATTTCATTTCATGATGATTGTACGTTAATTACGGCATGTCGGTACTTATCTAATACTTAAAAAAAATATTCAATTTGAGCTGTGTCCAGGCCGTTGGAGTTTATGCCGGTCGGCGTAGCCAGGTATGATAAATCTTACAAGAATTCGTTCCTTCATTTTTTTATTGTATATTTTCTTATTATTAGATGCCCACGATACAAGACACGTTCGTTAAAAATTGGGATCGAGGTTCACTGGCCAGATGCTAATTAGGGTTGGTTAGGTTTTTTTTTTTTTTTTTTTTTTTTCAATTTGAGCTGTGTCCAGGCCGTTGGAGTCTGCCGGTCGGCATAGCCAGGTATGGGTTAAAATTTTGTAGTGGCGGCGAAGCCGCCACCTTACAAGAAATCGTTGCTTCATCTTCTTATTGTATATTGCAGGGCAAAAAAAGTATTTTGAAATGTGTTTCAGGTCAAAAAAAAAAAAAAATTGCCCGTTCGACCGTCTGCGGATTTTTCCCAGAATTTTTAATTTTAACTCTGGAGCAAAAATATATGTACCCTGATTATTAGGGCTTTTGTTTTATGTCAAAATTTCCTGAAATGGTCCGTATTCGAGAAATTTAAAAAAATGCAAAATTCGGATTTTTATGAAAATTGTTGAACTAAAAGTTGTTTGCGATATCGATCTCTATAATTTTTGTTTATACATGATTTTTCTAAAATGGACCGTAATGGAAAAAATTGTAGGAAAAGTGTTAAATTTAAATTTTTCAGTATTTTCGTTTTCAACGAAAATCTATAGAAAAATGTGGAAAATGTATATATTTAGTTTATCCTCTAAACATTTATAGAGGTGCTGCAATAGGTTGTACAAAATAATCGGAAAAGGCCTATAATAACTGTATCTACCGTCTGTAGATGTATTTTTTCTATTGGTTTGGTTATTGTCTTAAATTAAACCTACTTTTTTTTCACTATGATTTATTAAACGAAACAAACGTTAACATGCCGTGCTTGTATCGCTCTCAAGGGCCAGATCTCGAATGGCTCTACGATCGATACGGATCGTTTACAAAAAGATCGAGTTGGACGCTACCAAATAAAGTAACTGTTACATGGGCGTGAACCATTCGGTTACGCAACATAGCCGCCCACCTTGAAAGTTCCTACTTTCAAAACGAATAATTAACATTAAAATTGAAACGATTACAAAAACTCAAAAAATTGTAAAAAAATGAACTAATAAAAGATTACTAAGTCAAAGTCTGTTCTTCATCCATTTCTATGGGCAACGGACAAATTCTTTGTACAGGTCTTTTTACCAAGCCACTACCCGTTTTAAGCGTAACTACCCGCACTAGATTATCCGCACCTGGATGCACTGCCACTATTCTTCCCATCTTCCAAGCCATGGGAAGGGTACCATCTTCTTTGACGATGACTAACATGCCAGCCTTAAGCTCCAAGGTACAAGCTTGAGGCCATTTTGCACGCTGCTGTAAGTTATGCAAATATTCCCGTTGCCAACGAGACCAGAAGTGTTGAACCATCTGCTGCAACTGCTCATACTTTTTTAATCTGTTCATCGGTACAGCCGTTAAATCAACTTGCGGAATTGTTTTTAGCAAGTCTCCTATTAGGAAATGACCAGGGGTAAGAGGGAGTAAATCATTAGGGTCCGAGGACATAGGAGTTAAAGGTCTAGAATTGAGCACGGCTTCTACCTGGGAAAATACTGTGCTCATCTCTTCAAATGTTAACGGTTGATTACTCATAATTCTTTTAATGTGAAATTTTGCAGACTTCACTGCTGCTTCCCACAGACCACCTTGATGAGGTGAGTATGCTGGGATAAAATGCCACTTTATCTCGTAGTCTGTACAAAAAGTTTGTAAATTTCCCGCCTTGTTCAACCCTTTTATGAAATTCGCCACCTCCTTCAATTCAGCGTTACCCCCCACAAAATTTCCACCATTGTCTGAAAATACGTGCTTGCACAAGCCCCGTCTTGAAATAAATCTTTTAAATCCGTTCAGAAATGATTCTGAACTGAGGTCGCTCAATAGCTCTAGGTGTACTGCCTTAGTACTAAAACAAACATATATGCAGAGATATCCTTTAATTATTTTTCTATTACGTAATTTGCCGTCCTTTAATTGAAACGGCCCGGCACAATCTACACCACAAATAGAAAAAGGTCTGTTTTGAATACTCAGTTGAGGAAGATCTCCCAATTTTTGCACGATAGCCTTGGGCTTGACGCGAAAACAAGTAACACATTTAGCTAATACACTTCTAATAATACGTCTGCCATCAATAGGCCAATATTTTTGTTTAATACTGTTTAATAAATGTTGAGCACCAGCGTGTAACTGTTTGTGATGCTCTTCCAAAATAATTAGTTTTGTTAAATTGTGATTTTTCGGCAATAAGATTGGAAACTTAGTTTCATAAGATAAGTCCGATTTTCTTAACCGCCCACCCACACGAATTAAATTGTCTTCCCCAATAAATGGATCTAATGCCTTGATTTTACTTCTAGAGGATACTTTTCCATAACTTAGATCACGAAACTCTAAAGCAAATTCACTTGACTGCATTAACTGTAAAAGCCTAACTAGTGATTCATTTCTCTCCTCGATAGTAATTATATTTTGAAATGTCTTATTCCCCTTGGATTTATATTTTTTGTACCATCTTAAGCACCAAGCTGAAATGACTACTAACTTTTTTAAACTTGAATATTTTGAAAATAAATTAATTTCATTATTGACATTTACCAAAACTATTTTTTCTTTACGTCTTTCTAACTCTTTATCTGTTAGCTTTTCACTGTTTGATAAATTAAATACAGGCCAAGACCCTGAATCTTTCTCTAAAAACTCAGGACCGTTCCACCATAAATTGCAATCTTTTAATTGTTCAGCACTTAAACCACGCGTTATAACATCTGCTGGATTACTGTTTGTAGGACAGTATGTCCACTGTATTTCTTCTGTCAAGGATTGTATTTCGCTAGTCCGATTTGCTATAAAAGTTTTCCAGCAACTCGGATGTTCTTGTAACCAATACAAAACTATAGTACTGTCACACCATAAAAATATATTTTCGTCTTTAATATCTAAGGCATATTTTACCTTTGCTATTAATCGTGCTAATAATAGAGCCCCTATTAATTCTAACTTGGGTATAGATAGAGATTTAATTGGTGCTATTCTGGACTTTGCGCATAATAAGTTACAACTAATATATGCATCGCTAAAAGATCTAATGTAAACACATGCTCCACTAGCCTTTTCGCAAGCATCCGAAAACCCGTGAATTTCAAAATATTCCCAATTTTTTATCTTTACTTGTCGCGGTATTTTAAATTCTTTAATACTATTTAGATTCTTGTAAAATTCGTTCCAAGCTGTGAATATTGAACTAGGCACTGACTCGTCCCAATTTATCCCTAATTTCCATAAGCATTGCATCATCACTTTGCCCTAATTTGTTATTGGACCAATAAGGCCCAAGGGGTCAAATAGTCTAGAAATTATTTTACTGATTTCCGGTTTTTCATTTTCTAAAGCTATTTGCTTCAAACATCTAGTGGCTAAGAATGAGGCCGGCCCTGTCCCATAAGTAACTGTTTTCAACTTATAAACCATTAACGGGTCCGTCTCATTCTCACGCCAAATAATTCGCTGTAAATTTTGTTGCTCTTCTTTAACTAAAATTTGCCGATACATTTTCGATATATCAGCTGTTAAAACTACATTGTCTTTTCTAAAACTCAACAATATTATAAAGAGATCGTCCTGTATCTTAGGACCTATTTTCAATTTATCGTTCAAAGATACCCCTGACGAAGTCTTAGACGATGCGTCAAAAACTACCCTTACCCTCGTTGTTGTGCTATTTTCGTTACACAATGATGCGGCAAATAGTATATAGTTTCAGCGCTTTTTATTTTTAAGCTATCTGATT